GCCGTTCGCACCCGAGTGCAACTCTCTCTCTCTCTCTCTCTCTCTCTATATATATATATATATATATATATATATATATATATATATATATATATATATATATATATAGAATTGCACTCAGGTGCGAATGAAGTTCCCAGGAAGGAATATGCGAACCAATCAGCGCGCGACACGTGTCCAGATCTAATGGATTAAAAAAACTCGGTGGCATTTTCGTAAATAATTGAACATCGAAGTGCAAGTAAAATGTATTATAGGTGCAAGTAAAATTTACACTGAGCATCAATACGAAGTGCACCTATAGTTATAAGTAGTTGCATCTATAGTTATGAGTAGTTGCACCTGTAGGTATAAGTAGTTGCACCTATAGTTATAAGTAGGTGCACCCAAGTGAATGAATGGTTGCGGGAAGTGAATGTTAACAAGACAAAATTACATGCACTTATAGGTGAAAGTAGGTGCACCTATAGTTATAAGTAGTTGCACATATAGTTATAAGTAGTTGCACATATAATTATAAGTAGGTGCACCCAGGTGAATGAATGGGTGCGGGAAGTGAATGCATGTTAACAAGACAAAATTATATGCACTTATAGGTGAAAGTAGGTGCACCTATAGTTATAAGTAGTTGCACCTATAGTTATAAGTAGGTGCACCTATGTGAATGAATGGTTGCGGGAAGTGAATGTTATCAAGACAAAATTACATGCACTTAAAGGTGAAAGTAGGTGCATTTGTAAGTGATTTTACTTGCACTTCGATGTTCAATTATTTACGAAAATGCCACCGCATTTTTTTTAATCTATTAGATCTGGACACGTGTCGCGCGCTGATTCGTTCGCATTTCCCTTCTGGGCACTTATTCGCACCTGAATGCATCCCTATATATATATATATAAGCCTAGTCATGCATCTATCTAGAGTAATTTTTGTGGGGTTGAGAAATGCAAAGATTATGGGGGTGTTTGATAAATGATTATTAGTTGATGGATTAGTGAGTTTAATTAGTTGATAGCATTAGCTGATTGCCACTGCGAATTTTTGGGCTAAGATTAGGCAACCAATTTCTCAACAATGGTGGCCTATGGTCAATCTTCTATGTTCAATTTTGTACTAGTGAGTGTTTGGTAAATTAGTTGTTAGCTATTAGCTTATTACATACAAAATGACTTTCTCAAAAAGCTGATCAAAAAAATTTCTTTGAGTGACTTTTTGAATTTTAGTATTTTGGAGCAATAAGTTGTTACAAAAAAAAAAAAAAAAACTAATTAATCAAATACTCATATTGATGGATCGTTATGCTGTGCAACCGTGTGCACCATGCAAAGTGCACATGGTGCACACGGAATTGGATTCATAATTTCTATACTGTAGATTTATAATTTTTATACTGTAGATTCATAAAATCTATACTGTAGATTCATAATTTAAATACAGTAGATTCATAATACCTGTATTGTAGATTCATAATTTCTGTACTATAGATTCATAATTTCTAAACTGTATAGTTATCAAATTATGAACATATAGTTCTGTGATTTGTGAATACAGAGTTCAACAATTGGGAATATGAACATCGAAAATTATGAACATAGAGTTATGTAATTGTGAATATAGAGTTCAAAAATTATAAATATATAACTTTATAATTATGAACATATAGTTCAGTAATTATGAACATAAAACAATGTGCACCATGCATCCCCATGCATGGTGCACACAGTTGCACAACATAATTTGCCCATATTGATTGTTTAACTATGTCAAACAACTAATAGTGATCAAATAAGCCAAAATTAACTAATAGTTATTTAAACAACCGTCGTCTATTAAGTGAAGTAGTATAACACAATATAATAGACGCCGGTTATTTAAAAAACCCGCCGCCGTCTATTAAGTGGCATAGTATACAATTTATGTAGTAGTGATTAGGGACGAAATTTGCAAATGTAGTATAACTCAGGGACGAAAAGTGCAACGTCAATGATAACTTAGGGACGAAAAGTGAGCATGACCAACACTTAGGGACGAATCCTACAATTACCTTATAACTCAAGGATGAAAAGTGTAACGCCAATAATAACTTAGGGACGAAAAGTGAACATGACCAACACTTAGGGACGAATTCTACAATTACCCTATAATTTAGGGACAAAAATAAATTTTTTTCTTAAAAATTGATATGCTAACTATTTTACCAGAGAGTGTTTATATATATAGCACAAGTCATTTTCATATACAGTACATTACAGAGCACAGGCGTGTTATACATTTTCCATGGCGCATGGATCGGAGTAAGCAATACAATTTAGTCCTGCATTGGCGTACGGATGTAATTAATATAATTGGGTTGAGATTTATATGCTAGACTATCAAAGTATAGTACAGTCCACCTTCATGTTACGTACTCACCTCATTAAAGATTACCATACAATTGAGACTCTAATTTGTTGATATCTACACATGCATGAAAACTAAATCACATATAAACTAGGAAAATGTAATATGTTTGTAGTTTTAATTAGAGTAAATTCCACTAAAGGTCCTTCGAATTTAAGGCATTATCGGCTTTGATCGTAAACTTACAAGTTTACTGCATACAATAAGCATACAAAAAATTATCACAAAGCTAGGCTACAAAATTTTAGATTGTTTTACCAATAAAGTATGGAGGAAATTTGGTGTACTTGTCCCAGTGGGATGGACACTTAAATTCCACTATAAATACACGTACATATAATTCAATTCCTGCAAATAAACCTACAGAAAGAGAACAAAAACATGAAAGAAAGCCATTTGCTCAACTTCATAATATTTACTTTGCTATATGTCTCTTCTTCTTCTTCTTCGAAGCATCACCACTGCGCTCCTGCTGATGCCTCTCTACTATTGCATTTCAGAAACCGTTTTAACATTGATGAATCTGCACCAACGATATGTGTAGGCTTGCAGCAACAACCAGTGAAGAAGTTATATTGGGATGAGAGCTCAGATTGTTGCAAATGGGAGGGTGTTACCTGTGATGCCTCCACTGGTCATGTCATTGCCTTGGACCTTAGCTGCAGCAGACTTCAAGGATCCATCAACACTAATTCTTCCCTTTTCCAACTTCATCACCTTCAAACCCTCAATCTTGCCTTTAATAATTTCTCTTCTGCCTCTCTTTCACATGCCATCGGTAGTTTGACCGCCTTGACTCACCTCAACCTTTCAAGCTCTTCCTTATCCGGTGCAATCCCATTTGAAATTTCACAGTTGTCCAAGTTAGTTTCTCTTGATCTTTCTCATAACTTTTACGGCTTTAGTTCGGATTTATTGTTTCTCTATAATCTCACAAAGCTTGAGGTATTATCTATGTCTGGTACTGGTCTCTCATTTACCATACCAAGGAATATATCTGCTTCATTACCAATTAGATCTTTCATTCAACAATATACTTGGCTCTATTCCGGATAACATTTTCCAGCTGCGGAATTTGGAGTCACTTATTCTACAGCAAAACACGGAGCTATTTGGTTCATTACCAAAGGTCAGTTGGAATTGCAATCATAGTCTACAAGTGTTAGATCTTGGGTTGACGAATATTTCTGGAGAGATACCGAATTCAATTGGCAATCTCAAGTCCTTGAAATATTTTTTGGTTGCTTCGGGTAGTTTTTTTGGAAAGATACCAAATTCAATTGGCAATCTAACACATTTGAAAGTAATGAATTTTCAGGGTAATCAATTGAGCGGTAGTCTTCCACCCACAATCTCAAATTTGAACCAACTAACTGATATATTCCTTTCAAACAACCATTTTGAGGGAGAAATTCCAGACATCTTTTCTAACCTCCAAGAGCTCATCAATTTATATCTCTATCAAAGCAATTTCTCCGGTTGTTTCCCATCTTCAATTGTAAACCTTACTCAACTTGAAGCTTTAGAATTAAGTGGGAATTCACTAACTGGTCCTCTCCCGCTTGGTTTGACCAGACTCCAAAACCTCCAAATGCTAGGGTTGTCTAGAAACATGTAAATGGCACTATACCTCCCTGGGTTTTCTGCATTCCTTCTTCATCACTCGATTTGGAACTTAGCCAAAATCAGTTTACAGGGCATCTTCCTGAGATTTCATGCAATTCGTCATTACCCGGTGTTGATTTATCTAACAATCAACTACATGGGTTGATCCCTCAATCAATTTCAAAACTTGTTCATTTAAAATCCCTCAACTTGGCATCCAACAATTTCAGTGGCGAGGTACTCACAGAAAATCTTTTGAACATTAAAAATCTTTCAATGCTTACTCTTCGATCCAACAAATTCAATGGCACTATACCACCCTGGATTTTTTGCATTCCTTCTTTATTTGAGTTGGACCTCAGCCAGAATAAGTTTACAGGGAATCTTCCTGAGATTCCATGCAAATCATCATTAGAGAAAGTTGATTTGTCTAATAATCAACTAGATGGTTTGATCCCTCATTCACTTTCAAAATTGCTTCATGCAAACACCCTCTTGTTGGCATCCAACAATTTCAATGGCACCATACCTCCCTGGATTTTTATCTTTCCGTCTTTATTCAACTTGGACCTCAGCAGAAATAGATTTACAGGAAAACTTCCTGAGATTTCAAGCAACTCATCATTAACCTTTGTTGATTTATCTAATAATCAACTAGATGGTTTGATCCCTCATTCAGTTTCAAACCTTCTTCATGCAAACTTCCTCAACTTTGCATCCAACAATTTCAGTGGTGAGGTACCCATAGAATTGTTTTTGAACATTAAAGATCTTGTGGTTCTTAATGTTCAATCCAACCAACTCCAAGGACCTTTAAATAAAGCCATTTGCAACTTGACTATGCTTGAGGTTTTGATATTAAAAAATAACAAGTTCAATGGCAAAATTCCACAATGCTTGGGTGAACATACCCAACTATCTGTGTTGGACTTGGGAATGAACAACTTTAATTTGATTGTTCCCCCAATGTTTGCAAAGGGAAACATCATAACAACCATATCTTTGAATGGGAATCAACTTCGAGGACTTATTCCAAGATCTTTGGCCAATTGTAGAAAACTAGAGGCTCTTGATTTGGGGAATAACAAGTTAAGTGACACATTTCCAAACTGGCTTGGAGATCTTCTAGAGTTACAAGTTCTAGTATTGAGATCCAATAGATTGTATGGACCCATAACCTCATCCAATTCTACGATTTGGTTTCCCAAACTGCAAATCATTGATCTCTCTTGCAATAGGTTTATAGGCGCTCTCCCAAAATATTTTTTCAATGGCTTTAAAAGTATGGTTAGTGTCATACAGGAAAGCCAAAAAGAAGCAAGTTATTTGGAAATTAGTACCCCTTGGTGGTTATACGTCATTTCAATCAATTTAACAATGAAAGGTCAAGTAATTCAACTACAAAAGGTTTTGACCATCTTAGCTACGATTGATTTGTCAAGCAACAAACTTGAAGGAGAGATTCCAATGCTCATTGGAAACTTGAAAGCCTTAATACTTCTCAACTTATCACATAACTGCCTCAATGGAAGTATTCCACACCAAATAGGGAACTTGAAATCACTCGAATCTTTGGACATCTCTTGGAATCAATTGGTAGGGAAGATCCCTGAGCAAATTACAAATTTGAAATTTCTTGAGGTGTTAAACTTGTCACAAAATCATTTTGTTGGACGCATTCCTACGGGTTACCAATTAAACACCTTTGAAAATGACTCATATGGGGGAAACCTCAACTTATGTGGATTTCCATTGTCAAGAGAATGCAATGACAACAATAGGGCACATGAACACCAACAACAACATGCTGAGTGGGAAGATAAATTCATGAGTGGATTTACTTGGAGAGTGGTAGTGATTGGGTTTTGTTGTGGAGTGGTATTTGGAATCTTCATGGAAAATATCATGTCTCGGACTGGAAAGCCAAAATGGATGTTTGTGACTTTCTATGGGAATAAGATACGCAAAATCGTACCAAGACAAAGAAGGAATGTTCGAAGATGCTAATGTCTAAGGGATGAATTTGTTGCTTTTTATAAAATCGTCATGAATAATGTGAGGTATGCCTTTTTCTCGCTAGCTTGGATTCCCATTTTACCTATTTTTGTTTTCCGCATTACTTTGGTATTGTTGTATTATTATGGTTATCATTGTACTTGATTTTTCACTTAATAGAATTTCAAACTTCAGTGTGGCATTGTTAATGAAATGTAAAAACTACATTAGTGGAAACTATAATGAAATATTTCTTCATATATTCAGATAACATAACGTAATATATATGACAATATGTTTCGTTTATTAATAATGCAACATAAATTATATGAAGATATACATGATCTAGAAGTGTGCATATGCTTGGTTTAGAGTATGATGAGATAGGTAGGTCACTCACTATAAGTGAAAGTGAACTTTTGATTATCTCTTTAATTTATTGTGGAAAAAATGTTTCTATGGTGATTATAGAAGTGGATGCTAAGAAGTCAATTATTGTATACATTTTAATAATCAGAAAAAAATGATTTAAGTTAAAACAAATCAATAATCTATATATCAATAATCTATATATAGAATATAATGTTACTTTCTAGGTATAGAATATAAGGGTGTGGGGGAGGGGGGCAATTACCGCATTGAGTGTACCTTAGTATATTAAAATATACCTTGTATCAATGATCTGTCCACATTACAAGATAGATCATACATGGTCCATCATATAATTTGCCTTTAAATTTAGTAGAAGCTTTAATTTTTGTGCTTTTTTTTTTTTTTTTTTTTTGAAACAAACGAACCAAATTCCATTAATGACTTAACAAATTCGAAATACAATCAGGCGGGATAACAGTCCACACCCTGAGACAGACGTAGAATTGGTCGCCCGAGCAAGCTCATGAGCCACGCAATTCGCTGATCTCCTGACATGAGTAACGCTTACGTTCCCCACATCCTTAGCAATTACTAAACATTGCTGAACTACTAAACCAACATGGGAAAAATCAGATTTACAAGAATTAAACGTTTTGCAGAAATTTAAACAATCCATCTCTAGAATGATGTCCCTGTGATTTCGAGTTTTCAGCCATGACAACGCCTCCCTAACCGCAAGTGCTTCAGCTACGAATGGGTCCCGAGTGTTATCAAGGCGACCGCTCTTCGCCGCGACAAAACACCCTTCATGATCACGTACCATAGCTCCAAAGCTAGCACTATCTCCAGATAAAGCTGCATCAGTGTTGCATTTGACGTAGTTTCTCGGCGGTGGAGTCCAGGCGGTGGAAGAACTCCCACTGCTGCTCGTTCTACAAGGATTAGCATAAGCTTCATTCCACGTACCCCGCAGCCTTACCATAAGAGCCCGAGTGATCTCCGTGGACGGAGTGTGATTCTGCCATACAAGCTCATTACGCGCAAGCCAGATTGTCCAAAAAACAGCCACAAGAGTCACCGCTTCATCAACTGGCGAAGTCCCAATTACCGTGTTCATAAAATCGAGGATATTTCGTCCCTGTAGCATATCATCAGCCTCACATATTGTCTTTGCAAACGCACAAGTGCAGAACAAGTGTTCCACTGTCTCGGCAACGTGACCACACATCGGGCAACCTCCACCCATCCAAACTCGCTTAGAACGTAGATTCTCCCGCACTAGTAAGATGCAACGCGCACAACGCCACAACATGTTTTTCACTTTGGGTGGAATCGGCAAGTTCCAAAGGGCTTTCCACGCATGAAATCCATTAGTTTCAACAGAAGTATTCAGGCCACCTCGTAACAGCCAATAGCCATGTTTGACTGAATATTGGCCTCTAATGTCGCCAATCCAACGCTAACAGTCCGGTATTTGAGTATTGATTGGTGTCGCTAAGATCCTTCCTACATCAGACAGATGGAAGATATCCCGAATGATGTCTTCATCCCAAGTCCCGTTCTCATTAAGCAGACCGTGTACCCTCGTATCTCGTAGTTCATCCACACATGGGGTAATCAGTGGCGATATAGACGACTCAGCAAGCGAGTGCCACCCCCACACCTTTGTATCACACCTGTCTCCGATACGACGAGCCACTCCCTGTTGTAAAACACTCTTCCCCGCAACAATACTGCGCCAAAGATAACTGGGATTCGTTCCTAACTGCGCATCCAAAAAGCCCGTTGTAGAATAATAACGTGCTTTCAAAAGGCGACTCACCAGTGAATCAGGATGAATAAGCAGCCTCCAACCTTGTTTGGCAAAGAGAGCAACATTGAAATCATGTAATTTTTTAAATCCCAGGCCTCCCTGCGCCTTCGGCATACACATTCTATCCCAACTTAATCAATGAATGCCCCGCCTTCCCCCACCTCCTCCGCCCCACCAGTATCGATTGAACATCTTTTCCAGAGTCTCACAAACCCGCAATGGTAGAAGGAAAACCGACATGGTGTAAATCGGGAGTGCTTGTGCAATACTCTTTAGAAGGACTTCCTTGCGTGCACGGGATAGAAGTTTGTTTTGCCAAGACCCAAACCTTGCCCGGATACGTTCCTCTATATATTTGAACACAGCTGTCTTATTGCGGCCTAACATCGATGGGAGTCCAAGATAACGACCCAGATCCATCGCCTCGTGAACTCCAAAAATGCTGGACACCAAAGACCGGACAGAGGTTGCTGTATTGTGACTGTATACCGCACTAGACTTATCAAAATTTATAAGTTGCCCCGATGCCATGCTGTAGATGTCTAGGCACTCCTTAACTTTGAGAGCCTCTCGTTTATTCGCCCTGAAAAAAAGTAAACTGTCGTCAGCAAAAAATAGGTGAGTGATGGCCGGAGCTCCCCGAGCCACCCTCACTCCATGAATGTCCCCTCGAGCCTCTGTTTGTTGCAGAAGGATGGACAATCCCTCGGCACAAATAATGAACAGGTACGGAGACAAAGGATCTCCTTGCCTTATTCCTCGAGTTGGGTAAATTTGCCCCGCAACCTCCCCGTTCACTAAAATGGAATAGCTCACAGAGGTGACACACAACATTAAAAGTTCCACCCAACCCCTCTCAAACCCCAGCGCCCTCAACATCCCTTCCAAAAAGGCCCATTCCATCCTATCGTAGGCTTTGGCCATATCTAATTTTAAGGCCGCCCACCCCTGGACCCCCCCGGTTTTTCGTCGTAAATAGTGACCAATCTCCCCGGCCACAATGATATTGTCTGTAAGTAGCCGGTCAGGCACAAAAGCACTTTGTGACTGAGACACAACCTGATCCAAACTCCCCTTCAGCCTATTAGCTAACATTTTGGCCATCACTTTGTAAGCCACGTTACAAAGTGCAATGGGCCGTAAATCCGACACTCTCTCTGGTGTGGGTTTTTTCGGGATCAGAACAATATTTGAATTGTTCAACCCCAACGGAAGCCACTTTTGTTCCACACAATTAATCACGAACACAGATAAATCATGTCCTAACACCGGCCAAAAGTGTTGGAAGAAGGCCGGAGACATGCCATCTGGGCCGGGTGCTTTATCCGGGGCCATATCAAACATAGCGGTTTTAACATCCATGATGGTAAAAGGTTGTGACATGGAGACATTCATCTCAGCAGTCACCCGCTCCCGAACCCGATCAAAGAAACTTGCACTTTGTGTGCTGGAACAAAAAATGTTTTCAAAGTACCTTATAATCTCCTCTTCCAGAGCAGCCCCTTCAACCCAATCACCTTCCTGATCCTTCACCCGCAGCAGCATATTATGGCGGCTTCGGGCCGTGGCAGTCCGATGGAAGTATTTTGTGTTCGCATCTCCGTGCTTGAGCCAGAGCTGCTTGGATCGTTGTTTCCAAAATATCTCCTCGGCTTTCAACAGCGTCTCTAATTCACTTTCGGCTTCCAGAAAACATGTAATTGCATTCGGGCTCCGGTCTTCTTTTAAACGGCAGAGAATTTTACGTAACTCTGTTATTCGTGCACCAAACCTGCGATGATATTCTCCTCCCCATTGCCAAAGCCGATCCCCACAAACGGCACCCTGGAAATCCAGATTGGTAGTCATACGCCATGCTTCATCGACGACTTTGGCACACCCCTCCTCTAGCAGCCAAGCAGATTCGAATTTAAAAGCCCGAATCGCTGCCCGTGTGGGAGCCGTGTGTAAGTCCACAAAAAGAGCACTATGATCAGAAGATGAAGTGTACATGTTTACTACCCGTGCTTCTTCGTGTAGATCCAACCAGTCCGTTGTTGCCACAGCTCTGTCCAATCGCTCCTCCACCCACGCATCAGTCCCCCGTCCTTTCTCCCACGTAAACCGGCCTCCAGTCATACCCAAGTCGACAAGCTCACAATCACCCAGTGCATCGTTGAAACCTTCGATAAGAGCCGTAGGATGAGAATGAATTCCCCTTTTCTCTGAGAGACTCGCTATATCATTAAAGTCGCCCACGACAACCCAAGGGAGCAATGATCTGTCCTTGAGTTACCGTAGAAGATCCCACGTGATATGCCGCTGTGCCTTGTCCGGTTCCCCATAAAATCCAGTTAAACGCCACAACGGACGCCCTGGTAAAGTTATCTCCATATCGATGTGATTTTTGGAGTAGCTCAACAGGGAAGCCATATTTGAATCTCTCCAGAAAAAAGCAAGCCCCCCTCCTCGGCCTATACGATCAACGCAGAACTTGCCATCGAAACCTAGCTTCACACGTAAACGTTCCATTTTATTCTCAGTCGTCTTCGTCTCCATCAAGAAGACGAAGAGGGGTCGCTTCTTGGACACGATGCCCAAGAGTTCACGAACTGACCGGGTGCCACCCATACCCCGGCAATTCCAGCTAATTAGACTCATTTGGCTCAGCGAGCCTGGTCTGCCAGACTCGCCAAATCAGTTTGTTTTGTGCCCTCTGCCATCATCACATCATTCTCCACCACAGCTTCCGTTATCTCGGATTCTTCTCTGCGTCGTTTCAGGTCTCCATGAATCCCACCAGAATCCTCCATCGCCATAACAGTGGCCAGAGGTGGTCCTCCAGGAGGAACAGACATTGCCATCTCAGCAGTTGATGAAGGTGTTAATAGCCACTTTGCTCCCACTGGTTTCACTTGGCGTCTCGGACCAGCCCGTAACCACGCCCCAAACGGAAAGGCCTCCGGAAGAATTCCCTCCTCGTACGCCGTCTTGCAGAACTTGTCGGAGTGACCCAGCACCCCACAGCAATAGCAGAACGTGCCCAATCTTTCATACCTGAAAGTGATCCATTGGCTGGATCCATCACGTCGCAGTATTTTCTTGCGTCGCTTGAGGGGCGTTAAAATGTTCAATCGAACCCTGATTCGATAGTAGCTTTTCCACGTCCCTCCAAAATTGAGAGGATCAATCGCGATAAAGGATCCGACATGATCACCAATCTTGGTAATAAACTCTTGTGAGGCATACATCGCCGGTAGTCCGTGAACCTGGACCCAGAACAGAACCTCATTCAGTGGCACATCCTCCGGTTGGGACCCCATCGGCACTTGATCACAAATCAGGAGATGATTTTCGAAGGACCAAGGTCCATCGTCAATCACGCGTTGCAGATCCTTCGTATGGGGTAATTGAAATAGAAACAAATCGTCCGCCAAGGGCACGGCATACATGCCCATCACTGGTCGCCAGATCGAAGCTAAAACGTGTTGCATATGCTCAAATCTGATCGGGCGGTCGGTTAGGAATCGCCCCACCAAATTGTTGTGGATTGTCGCATCCGGGATCGATTGCGGTTCAGGCGCCTCCAGTCCGCCCGTCTCCTCTACGACCAACGACAGGTCGGCACATTGTTTCTCTAGGTGGTGGATATCCATATGGAAAATTGGGGATTTCGATGGATTGAACAGCAAAAGATTAAGGAACAAAAACACTAATACGGTCTCCACGTGTGACAAACAATAGATAAAGACCCTAGAATCCTAGGGAGATCACTCTCTCAGAACACGATCGAGAGAGAGGGCCACTTTCGAGAAGATGATCGGAGATCACGATCGGGCGTCGCCAATTACTCTGTATATTTGTTATAGGTAAAAATAAAATAAAATTATATCAATTAGTCTATTTTTGTGCTTTCAATTCTTAATAAATAATTATCTCAAAGACAAAGAGATGTGCAACATAATTCCATACAAAATAGAACAAGTTTAAGATATTTTCTATGTAATTAAAAACTTTGATATTTTCAACACTAATTAGTAAAGATTTCAATATAGTATATAAAATATCTTATTAAAAAATTAACTAATTAAATCTTCTACAAAACAAAAGTCGATTTCAATATATAGTATATAAAATATCTTATTAAAAAATTAACTTACTAAATCTTCTACAAAACAAAAGTCTAAAAATATTAAAAATCTATTCACCCTCGACCAAACTTTTATTCATCCAAGACCATCAATACCCTAATACTATTTATTTCAAACTATGTTTAAAATTTTATATTCTAAACTCGTAATAAGATTAATGAGTTTTTCGCACTTTTGGTTCCACAACTATAGTGACACTGTCAGGATTGATTCATGACTTTCAAATCTTAAGCTCGGTCAACGACTAGTGTTTTTTTTTGTTTGTTTTTTTGCAAAAATGGTCCTTACGATCCATTTTTTTGTAATTTCTCACCGGAGTAAGAACCATTTCCGGCAAAAGCGGGTCGGAAAATTGACAGCAAAAGGACCGGAAGGACCATTTTTGCAAAAAGACAATAGTCGTGGACCAAGATTGCAAGGTTTGAAAGTCGTGGATCAATCTTGATAGTTCCAATATAATCGTAGGACCAAAAGTGCGAAAAACTCTAAGATTAATATATACCGTACTTTGAGTAATACCTAAAATTTTGACATATCATCTCATACCAAAAGATCATAAATTCGATTATTATTCACCCCCTTGTTGAGTTGATCATATATGATCTTTTTAGTACGATTTACCTTTTAGGTATAATTTGCTGCCTATTACACATGAACATAATTTACTCTATGCATTTTGGGCTTCTCTCTTCACCCAAACAAAAAGATGGCATATCACAAATCATATTTTAAACTAGGTTAGATTATACAGTACTGTCATTAGCAATGTTCTAACAAATGTTTGAATGCTACTATTTATTTTCAGGCTCGTGCAGTTTTAATAAATGCTGGCTGTCCAAGCTAATGCAGCCATGGAAATTGTTTTTAATTTCAATTTAGAAAGCTTTTTGCTTGGTTTAAGGATCCCTGTTTTGATATGCATGTACTTATCTTCAGACTCTACATTAAGTTTATCATCTTCCAATTTAATAAAAATAGTTTTTTTTTTTTTTTCTTTTCAAAAAAATAATAGTTTTTTTTTTTTTTTTTTTTTTTTTTTTTTTTTGTTTTTAAGAAAAGACATATCACAAATTATATTTAAGACTGGATTTGATTGTACAGTACTATCATTATTATCAAACGCATAGTATATACTACTTTATTGAGTAGAAAATACCTTATTGTGAACATGTATCCCTCACCTTGTCTCTCTCAAATCCTTGGGGTTCACTGCGCAAAAGGTTACTTCTTTCTCTCCAATTCCATATATACATTCCAATGTATTTCCTTGCCTCATTTGTATGCAGCAAAAAAGTTTCTCGCTTTTGTTTTTCTTGATTACACTGTTTAATACGTTCTAGTCTAGACTTTTGTTTTATTTCTTCTTTCTCCGGCCATATCTTCAAGAAGAAGAAGAAAAAAAAAAAAGAATTTTGTTTTTCTTCTTTTGGTGAATGCTTGAGGTGTAAAGGAAAGAATATCGGTATCCGGGTGAGTTCAGAAGGGCAACGGCAGTTACTTCTGTTGCAAAAAAGGCGTCCAATTACATTCTCCTTCCAGAAGGGCCATGGCAGAAGGTGATGAACAGCTCCATCTTTTTTCCAAAGGTCTAATCTTTTTGTGTTAAGGGTTATATGTCACAGGCCTGGTGGGTTCTATTGTGTTATGGGTTCAACTTAGGCTTGCTTTAAGGATCCCTGTTTTGATATGTGCTTATCTTCACATTATACATAACTACCACTGATCTTGTTAGTAAGAGTGAAGTAATTAATCTTATCTTCTATATATTTATTTATTGCATTGCTTGCTACAGTAATTAGCGAGCTGAGCTGTTTGTTGCTCATATTCTGATCTGGAGGTTGGAGGAACATATATAAGAGTTGGTGGCATGGCAATTGGCAAAGGGTTCTGGCCGGGATCATCCATCCTAACATGCATGACGATACTGCTTGGTGTACGTCATTTAATTTTGTCTCCAAATTTTGCCCTGAATATAGTAGTTTTTACTCGTTGCTACTAAACATTTGCAAATATTTCAAGTTGTTACTACTGATGCCTCAGTTACAAGCGATGTTTGGAGACGAATGGTATTGGTTTCTGTTAACCCAGCCAAGTTTTAACCAAATTACTGTAACTAACAGCATTGCCTTATCTACTTTAACTTGGCAAATTAAAGGAATAATACCTCTAAGATAGTAAGATTATATCTGGTGCTCATCTATATGGCCCAGTTAATAGGCTTATTTAATTAAACTGCAAGCTAAGGTTAATTTTTAATTCTCTAAATGTCTACAATTTTCTAGCGATAAAGATATTTGTTATGATCCAATTTAATCTTGTATTACCTAAGTCGATCTTGTTAGGATTACTTAACTGCATAAAACATTCTAAACCTCTCCATAAAGCACATGCTTCACAGGTAGATGGATGGAGATACCAGGCCAGGAATGATGTTGTTATCACTTTGGCTAGTGGGCTCCCAGGGACTGATAAGATCTCTTGTTTGAATAGCTCAGAGGCAAACCACCTATGGAGGTGTCTCGATATGATGCTGTATGTGAATCTACCACCTAATTTATTCTTATATGTTGTACAGCTCCCTCCTCGTACTTTCATTTTTTTATTTTATTATTTTGTAATGAACCAGCATGTAGTGTTTTTGTTACATTTTTCATGACCTTGGCCCCCCTACTTCATTACACCAACTCACACATTAACTAATACATTGGTGGTATTTATCTGAAACTTTGGTGCATTACAAATATGGTTATTTCTAGGTAATGTTAAGGTCTGTACACTTGTTAAAATGTTAAGGATACTAGTCGTACTAAATGTGTCTATCAAAGTAAAAAAAAAAAAAATTATTTGTAATGGTCTATATATTGCTTTATGAGTTCACCTAGTCAATTGGTATGATGCCAAATTTTTTTGTTCTTTCAAAAAAAAAAAAAAAAATTTACTCCATTTTCCACTCTGAGCTATCTGGGTATTTTGTCAGAAAGATGTTTTTGTTTAAATGCTTGAATTGCGCTCCGGTAATTTCAAATCGCTCTTGAGGGTTTAAGGAGAACATTTTTTTTCTATAGGATCAAGCCCTAACCACTACATCATTCGAGTCCCAACAAGAGGAAACTATGCAGTTAAGACTAGTAGGTACTAGGGGAGGGAGGGGGGGGGGGGGGGGAGGGAATTTTGGGCAGAGACCTGAAGAGTCAAGTCCATATTACTTTTTAGTTGGAACTTTAGGCGGTTCTCAAAAAAAGATAGTGAAAAATATTATCCCTAGAGTCGAGACTAAGAGGAATGTATAAACCAATGCTTCAATAGATTCGATCTTGATTTCCAATTATAGCTTTCATACATGTTTGTTTTTTGATTTTATTCATTGCTACGTATGCAAATATTTCAGGTTGTTATTACTGATGCCTCAGTTACAAATAATGTTTGTAGATGAATGGTACAGGTTTCTATTATTAACCCAAGTTTTAACCAAATTACTGTAAACTAAGTAACAGTGTTGCCTTATCTACTATGATTATTCTCCAGGTAATGCAGGGCGTAGCAAACTCTATAGCTTGGATGGAGAGGGAGCAACATGTTTGATTGAGGTCTGTACATTTGTTAAAATGTTTGGACACTGGTCGTACTAAATGTGTCTATCAAGTAACATCCTGCCTTTGGAGTGTGGTCACGGGTTTGGCTACTAGCTTTAGCTTTTAACATCCTGCCTTTTGAAAAATAAAGTTGTGTCTTTGCTACTAGCTATAGCTTTTGGCATAGTAGTAAGCGCTTGATCTTAACAAATGGAAACGTATTCGAGGATTTTTAGCATACAATTAAAGAGTTGCTCTGAAAATATCCTATACCTAATCTGATACAATGTAATTGGATACAGGGTAGCTGGAGTAGCATCTGCACAGGTACGGTGATGGTCTAGGAAGTGGAGTTGCATGGGTCTCAGATCAGATTATCTAAAGGTCTTACATCGTCTATATTCGTGTTCTTCATGGTTATGTCCCTAGGATTTATGTGGGAAAAAAGGAATAAGAATATTAACATTAATAAGATTGAAATTTTGGGTGTATTTCATTTCTCGTATTTCACCTGGAATGGATGCAGTCATCCTGTTTGCAATGCAGAGCAAAAGCAAGAAAAGGTTGATAGACTGTGTAACATTTTTGCATTTAAGAGAATTCAATGGTTTATTAAAATGTATGACATTACAAAATGCAGTTAATTAGAAAAGTATGTTTTACGACTGTATGTTTTAAACTATTAAGTGTACAACTTGTATGAAAAAGAGTAATCTTAGATACGTAATATCTTGAGACTTTAATATATAATGCTCACATTCTTTTCACTAATTTTATCGCCACTACTTTTTAACCGCTCTAATTTCACTTTACCTGCCCCACCCTCCACAATAAAAAAGCAATATGAAGCTCCTCTTTCCCATCAATGAATTCACTGGGAGAAGTACAAGTACTCTTATTGGAGCATGGAAATGTTGCAAACTTGATCAAGCACTTCTCTGCATCCAAAAATTCTTGAGTGACTGCAATGGGTACGGTATCCAAGGAATATATCTGTTTCATTACGATATTTAGATCTTTTTAAAAACAGTATAGTTGACTTTATAACATATTTCAACTGTCGAAATTAGAATCACTTATTCTATCTTATAACTCAAAGCTAGTTGGTTCATTACCAATGCTCAGTTGGAATTGCAATCAAACACTATAAGTGTTACATCTTAGCTTGACAAATATTTTTGAAGAGCTACCAAATTCAATATTTTTGACGTATACGTTTAAAAGTAATCGAGTTTACTTAAGCGATAATGAATTCAACTCTAATGCCCAACTCCCAATCTCACATTTGAATCAACCAACTTATTCAGGTCCTTCATACAACCATTTTGAGGGAGGAATTCTAAATATCTTTTCTAACCTCCAACAGCTCACCTTTTTATATCTCTATACAAACAATTTCTACGGCAGTTTCCCATCATCATTTGTAAACATTATCCAACTTGAAGTTTTAGCATTAAGTAGAAATTCACTAATTGGCCCAGTCCCTCTATTGCGAGCGGACTCCAAAAACTCTGGGGGGTTATCCTTGTATGAAAACACACTATGAACGAACTTACGTTATACAATTTCCATAATTATGATAGAAGCTCTGCTAAACAGTGAAGTGACTTTATACATTTCCCATGCCCCGCCCGTGATAGAAGTTTAGCTGCATAGTGATGTTACATTATACATTTTTCATGCCCCAAACTATGGAGTAACCAATAAAAATCAAGTCATGGATGGAGAATTAGTCATGCCCCAGCTTGTGGAGTAAGTAATAGAAATCAAGTCATAGATAGAGAATAATTATGACAAAAGCTTCTTTGTACAGTTAAGTTACGTTATACATATAGAAACATAATGAATTGTATATAACACCAACAGGTCTAGGGGCTTAAATAGCCATGCATACAACTGAATCACCACAATCTACGTAACAGTTACTAGACCTATTCTAGTGCTACAAAGTAGGAAAGAACTAGTCTATGCATATATCATTCCTTCTTACAACCCTGCAAGATGGTGGATCCATCAGAGACACCCAGCTTGGAGTGGAAGCATTCATAAGAACGATGATGCAAAGATTTGGTTAGCACATCTGCCACCTGATCCTGCGTGCGAATGTAACGTACTTGTAAGGCCCCGCTACTGACAAGGTCACGAAAGAAGAAATAGTCCAGCGCATGGTGTTTCATCCGAGAATGATATACCGGATTTTTGCACACATAGGTGGCACCTATGTTATCACAATATAGGACCGGCGTAGCAGACATCCTTATACCCAGATCAAGTAACAAGTTCTGCATCCAAACTACTTCAGCTGCCACATTGGCAAGAGCCTGATACTCGGCTTCGGTAGACAACCGTGCAACACCTTTTTGGAGAACCGAACGCAAAGAAATAATGTTAGACCCTAGATACACAACATAACCTGTTATTGAACGTCCCCCCATCATGGACCCCACCCCAGCTTGAATATGAAAAAGCGATGAGAGACAAGGTTGAGCCCCTCCGTAAGAACAATTCATGACATACGGTGCCCTTGAGATAGCGCAAAACACGCTTAACACCTTGCCAATGCAACATGGTAGGGGAATTCAAAAACTGCGACAGGCGGTTGACAATAAAACCAACATCGGGCATAGTAACGGATAGGTACTGCAAAAGCCCAACTGCACGACAGTACAAAGCACATCGGCTAGTGTCAAACCATCATTACTATGGAGTTCAGCAGCAGAACCAAGAGTGGAAATTGGCTTAGCATCCTGCATGTGAAATTCTGTGAGAATATCAGTGATATATTGAGCTTGAGAGAGAAAGATACTAGCGAGGTCGGAACTAGCTCAACACCAAGAAAATGACGCAAAGGGCCAATGTCCTTGAGAGAGAACCGAGTTGCCAAAGAGCTAACAAACTGAGTCAGGAATGTAGGAGAACTTCCGGTCAAAATAATATCATCCACGTACACCATAAAATACACCACAATATCATCAGCTTGATAAATAAAGAGAGAGTAGTCAGCCCGCGATCGCCTGAACCCAACCGAGACTATTATGATCATAGAAAATCAAAATCCAAAATTCCAAATACATAATGTCAAGTATTCCTGAATAATAAAGAGTTAAAGTTAATGTTAGTTTGTACAACTATATATAAGTACTAGGCTAATAATCAAAATTATTATTCTAAGTTATTTTTAAAAACAAATAATTTTCTAGCTAACAATTAAAGTAAAAAGATTGTTTATTTAGAAAATGAAAATAAGTACAAGATCAACCCCTTTTAATCAAAATGAGTACAAAACTACAAATCATGTTGGAACTATAAAGAGAAAATTCCTAAAATGATCCTCCAACTATGACATTTTCTAAAATTGGTCATTTGACTTTTAGTTACACCCAAAATAGTCCGTTGACTATAGTAAAAACCCTAAATTACCAGTTTTACCCTTCATTTTAACACTCACATAACACCAAAACTAATGGGGAGGGCCATTTTGACTTAAAATTCAATAGTCGGAGGACCACTTTGGGTGCAAATAAAAGTCAAGGAACCAAATTGGGAAAATGTCATAGTCAAAGGACCATTTTGGGAATTAACTCTGCTAACAACATCATTGTATTATGGAATACTAGTATTAAGAATATTTGGATCGATATATAATTATTTAAATTAGAACATCTAATACACGCACACATATATAATGGGGTGGAGTGGGGATGGCTGCCCCCATAATGAATCTGCCCATGCATAGACGAAGCATCAAAGATAAGAGATGAAGCTTTTTGTTCATCTCATATTTCAAAGATAGAACTACTTGCTCGATCATAGAAGAAGTTTCTTACTTAGTCTTAAATCAAGATAAAGTCTAATTTGAAAACTAAGATTTACTTTCAATTATATGATTACCATAGTATTTTTACATTTAATCACCAATTATTAATCATATTTATTTTGTTTGTTAATTAATTAAAATGAATATGTCAATTGTAATCATGCAACCAAATGTGGCATTAATTCTAAAGAAAAAAGCAGAGTATAAATCTCAAGTAAGTTAAAATTTGTCAATAGCGGATTCGTGGTGCAATGGTAGTGCGTTTGACTCTAAATCAGAAGGTTGCGTGTTTGACTCACGTCGGGCTCAATTTCCTTACCCATAACCTAATCCTAGCAGATTGGTTTTTGGAAACCAATTTTGAATTTTTATAATTTGAATTACTACTTTCCTAAAACCAAATAAAAACGGTAAAGTGACTTTCACAACAAGCTACTAACTGAAATTATATATACCTTTGATTTCTTGTTTCTATCTTCAAACTCAGTAACTCAAAGATTTCTTGTTTCTATCTTCAAACTCAGTAACTCAAAGATTTCTTGTTTCCATCTTCAAACTCAGTAACTCAAAGATTTCTTGTTTCCATCTTCAAACTCAGTAACTCACTCCAAATCCTACCTCATACCCATCACTTCATCTTAATCCAAAGTTCAAATGCTTTTCCAGAATTTTGAGTTTGTTGGGGCGATATGATGATTCCACCCAGACTCAGTCTCAGACGCAGATGCTTCTGTGGGCTACAACACCAAGTCCAGTTTCACGGTATAAACCTCAGCGTCACCGTGACAAAAAGAGCCGCTGAGGTTGATCAATGGGTCAACGAGGTCGTCTACAACAACCGCCACGTCCTCCACAGCCTCATCATCGTCGGTCTCGACATCGAGTGACACCCGTGTCTTGCAGCAGGGGAAGAAGACAACCCAGCCGCCACGCTCCAGCTTTGCGTCGGGAAAAGCTGTTTGATTTTTCAACTTTTGCACAGGGACTACACTCCCCATTCTCTCCTCGCCTTCCTGGCTAATCCCCGATTCACCTTCGTCCGCGTTGGGGTCCGAGATGACGCCGAGAAGCTCCTCCGGGACCATGGGTTGGTGAAGGAAAACGTTGCGGATTTGCGGTGGGTGGCTGCGGGGTTTTCCGGCTCGGAGCATTTTATGAGAATAGGACTGAAGAGAATGGC